AGAAACTAGTTGAAAAAACCAAAATCATCAACCCGTTTTACAGTCCCACACATTGTGTTCTTTTTTATCTTATTTTACAGGTGGTCGTTACCCTGAATACTCAAACAAAATTAACAACTCCATTATTATGAACATATTGCAGCCTTTTGCACATGGTCCAGCAAATGGACATTAGCATTATGGTACAGAGATGATTGCATAACATATATTTTATATCTCTCAGCCTTTATTCACTGAATATTAAAACATGCCTGTTTTGTTTACAAAACTACTGTCACCCATGTTTAAGATCTGGGTTATGCTTGACTTGGAATACACCTGTGACTCTTCACACTAAACTCAGTGTACTACTATAACCTCTCTTGTTACACATAAAAAACATAATTCAGCTTTGGATCTAACATAAACAGGATGATTATGTTTGGGGAGTCTTCCAAAGCCTGCTATTCAAGCAATCTGTGACATATAAATAATGCAAGACCTCTTCTTTCGCTAAATGACTTCAGTTCAAGCACGGACTCAGAAAGATGGAAGCCCAAATTTATACTGCCATTACAAAATTCAATCTATTTCTGGTTCTCCTATTGAATTATGACTCAGTCTTCCACTGTTTTCTATTAGCACCAACCTGCACACTCCTACCCTTTGTCAGCCCATGCAGAAAAGAATCTTACTTGCGAATATTCCTGAGGTTTAATCTTATATTAAAATGGTAGCAAATCCCAGCTAATCTGAAAAGCCTCATGTTTTCTTTTAAAGGAAAGTAAGGTAGAAAATTGGTCTTTTTTCCCTCCCTTGACCCCTGACCTTTGAACCACAACCTCCTTGCCACTAAAGCATTCAACACCTCATTTAATCTCTCCTCGCTGCATTGGCACAGCACTGGAACAGGAAAAAGGAAAAAAAAAATAATCTGGGGACTTCATCAATTTTTCATGAATTTTCATTTAGGCCAAAGCCCCCTCTTACAGTGGTCGATAGATCAAGCTGCTGTCACATATTTAACACCTGGGGCTCCAGCTGCCATCTCCGGGGGCTGCCGCTGACGCGGGCTGGATCAGAAGAGCCTGAGCCAGAGCACGGGCCCTCGTGCTCCTTCTCTCGCTCACATGTGGCGTCCCGGTGCTCGCAACTGAAACCCTAGCTGCAGTCCTTACTGCAAATGCGTCTCCCGATAGTCCCACTGGAAAACTCCGCCACCAATTGAACTGTGTCAATCCGTACATTGTGAAAATCTGTGCTCTTATTTTAAAACTTCTGGCTTTCAAATATGAAAGCAGTTACATAAAAGATCAAACTATTTCAAGCCTACTTCCCTTTCTAAAATCCTCCCAAGATAATCTGAGCATCAACATATTTCTAATAATGCCAACCCTTGTTCAATTTCAATAAAAAAACCACTAATACACAAAATCAAAAGAAAGATGTTTTGCTCTTTTGAATGCAATTCTTCATAGTTGTTTCAGTACTAGAACATTTATTTTTAATGATTTAACCATAAAACATACAAATACTACTTCAGAATTTGCCACATACACAGTGGAAGTATGGTTATGCTGCTAGCACTGGCATTATTTTTCCTTCTGAGGAAGCTCCTACTGAAAAAAGTAACCCACAGAAAGCACACCAGGGATTAATGGATTAAAAGAAGAATGAAATAGAACAACTCATAACAATCTTAAACTGTGCCTTCAAATACAAATTCCTATTTCTCCTAAATGTCTTCTGGAATGCAGACATTCTAAATTAAAGGAAAAAAAATTAGAAAAGCATATTCTGTATGTTAATGATGTTCTTTAAGTAACTTCCTATGTTACAGTTCTTCAGTTTCACTAGCACAAAGAAACTTTTGAGGAATACATTGGCACAAAAATATCCACCCTTGATTGTATGTACATGCTCTGAATAGGCATGGATCTAAAAGTACACTCAAATGCTTTGGATAGGCTGGTACCTAAATCCATTGTGTTTGGGAAAGGTGTTAACTGCTACTCAAAAAAAGAGCTTAGGAACTTCAGCAACTTGCAAAAAAGTCACTCCAAAAAAACAAAGGGCAAAACAACTGCATTCAAGATCTGCCACACTACACTCTGAATCACTAAGTCCCAACTGAATTTCACTTAAGAGTTTTCCTTCTGTCTTCACACATAAACACGGACTCATCAAAAGATTTTCAATCCCAGTGCTTTTAGGGCAGGTGGCCATGGCAGGAAAGGGGCAGAAATAGAAGAGAAAGAACCACAATTAACACTGTTTATCATCTGAATGCATAAGCATGAACACACTTAGATGCATAAAATCAATAGGTTTTCTTCATAAACCATTCAAAAGTTGCAAGTGAACATTATTGGTGACTGACAATTTAATAAGCAAAGTAAAGCAATTTACTGATTCTTTCTTTTTTTCCCTAAACCAGAAGACTCAAACATTTTAAACCTGTAAAAAGCAGCAGTTTGTCTGATGACACAATTTGAGGCCACCTACAGTCAGATAATAATCCAAAACCCTGTTGTCAGCAAAGGACAACCATCCTTTTTCTGGTGATGAAAACAGCTTGGCTTAGTATGGAAAGAGCAGTTTTCAACACGATTACAGATAGCACAACTAAGACCCTAGAGCATGGGGCTGATCCCAGCTCCTGTGGAAACAGTCACAGGATCCAGGCACCTCAACCGTTTGCAGCAGCAGCTGAAAACACTCAAATGAGGACTCTCTGCTGACAACAGGCTGTCAGCAACAACTCATTTCTCCAGTGGGTAAATGGACTGCTACAGACCTGCCCATCTTCTTCAGTTCAGAAATGCTGACATTAGAAAAAACGGTTAAAAGTCTTAAAATAACTGCTCTTTCAAAGTCACTTGAAAACTTGATTCAGAACCAAAAATCATATTTAAAAGTGTCTCAATACTACGTGAAACTGGGCAGTTTTGTCATCATGCTCCAGAGGATGCCTTTGATACACATGTTGAGCGTTGCCATGTGCTTTTAAAACATTTATTGAACATAAATCAACAATATCTCTAAAACTAAGTAAACAAGCAATGTATAAATTATTTTTTTTTAATTTTAGGAAGGCTTTCTTTTCTTTAGAAAGACAAAGCACTGTTGAAGTGGAACACGAGTGCCTGCTTTATACTGCTAAACCATTTAATTGGGGAATTCAGCCAGTTAAATTTCAAAGCTATGAAAAAAGTAAAATAATCTGGTGTCAGGTGCATATTGCTATTACAAAAAACTTGGCTATGGTTTCAGATCTCAGGTTTCACATTCTATGATCCTACTCTAAAATATCTCTGACGATGAAACACACTTTAATTATTTTTCAAGTCTTCTACTATCTCAGATACAGTTCATGCATGACCCGCCACCAGCTACAGTTGTTAAAACAGTTACTCCAGAGACTGGGAATATTGTAACAAGAGTCTCTCAGCAGTCACTGAAGTAGGCATCAGTGAAAATTGAGAAAATATAGAGCACCTTTAAATTTCAAAACAATCAGTCGCTTTAATTTGATGACTTCAGGTATAACTTGAACTATCTCCTAAACTTTGACAGAAGATGTCTGCATCTCAACAGGACTGCAATAAATATTTCAAAGTGTTTATGCCTCTCTCAAGATTTCTCAACAGTTTAAAACACACATATACAAAGACAGAAATAATCCAGCAAATTGGTCTACAGTCATACTTACCCAAATTACAGCCTTCCTTACACTGGTCACCATCTCGATTCCTAAATACCTACCAAAACTGAATAACGTTCTGTGATGCCTTTATTGGCAGATACATATTTATTCATGCCTTGAACAAGTGCCAAAACTGTTATCATTTTTTGTTGGAAACAGTTCTAAATCTTGGTTACGGCAAGTGAAAGAGAATGAACAGGTCCGTTCTACTTTGCCTACACCACCATGTAAATATTTAAAAAATGGTATTTTCTGCAATTTCTGAGAAGACTGAAGCCTCAAGATCACGTAACATTAGCTATACAATTCTGCAGACTGCATCAGAAATAAAGATTTGTGTTCATTTTTTTCCCTCCCCTTTAAACCAACATACCTTCTAACATGTACTTATATCCATTCTTTATCAACTAAGCAATTCAAGTTTGTGCTAAAGCCCTACTTCAGTCAAACACATTTTAGTGAAACTACTGCCATACGAAGACCTGTGTGGCAAAAACTGACATGCAGCATGAGTAAGACTTTCATAACTCTACTAAAGTACACCTTTATGTGAAGATACACAGCTATCCTTAGTTGTTATTCTGAATAACTGAGCAGCAAAGAATAATATACAACACATTGCATTTTATGTACGATGAGCTTGTTTTCTATGTGAATATAATGAATGTCTCTGCTAACTCTACTGGAAGCAGATCATGCATGCCTGGTGGCCTCTGAAAAAGCCATGACGACTTCTCTGTTAAGACAAAGAGAATCGATAAAGAATAAGACTGCTCTGGATGATATGAGAAATGGCCAACAATTTCACTTGCCATTCACATAATGAATGAGGCCTGTACCGGGTTTATGATAGAGGAGCGTATATTGAGGTTTCCAGTAGTACAGAACATGACTCACCAAGAAGCTGTCTGCTTCTGTTGAGGTAACAGATGACAAGATAAAGAGAAACAGACAGTGCACCTTATATTAAATGATAGGCATTTTTCCACATTAGTTTCAGTATAACCAACTTTAGCCATGATTTAAAAATTAGATTATTCTTTAGAGGAAGATTAACCTTTGTCCATGTTTGTGCCAATCATGATTATACACTGCCTATAACCTTGCTTCAGTACGAATCATGTATTCTGTATGGTCACTGCTACTGTATAAAGGCATGTAGAAATGCCTTGGCTAAGAGCTGTAGCTAATGTCAAAATGCCATACTTATCTACATTTGTTATCTCCCAGACTGCTGACTGTGTGCAAGAGCTGGGTGACAGCATAAAAGCAACTATAAAGTTTTACACAGCACTAATAATATAAAACTACTCACATGCCACTTCCAGAGATGCATTGCGACTCACAGCTTCTCCAAGATAGTTCCTTGCTACGCAAACGTAACTTCCTTCATCAGGTTTACTCCTGCGTCCATGCACAATACGTAAGAAAAATAAAGATCCGCTGGGCAGCAGCATGCGGTGGGAGCGCGGATCATCCTTGTCCGTTTCCACTCGCTCTCCATCCTTGTACCACTCAATAGTAGGAGTTGGCCGTCCTTCAGCTTTACAGTTCAGAGTTGTTGGTTCTCCTTTAGAGACTATCACATCTGAAGGATGCTCAACAATCCGTGGTGGAAAGTCCTCCTGGCGGAGACGAGATCCTAGAGGAAAAGAAAGAGAGAGGAAAGAATATTTTATTTTTTTTTTTAACTTTTGCTTCACAAAGTTCTCCCAAGATACTCTTTTAATACCATAAAAATTTTCCAAGAAAAGAAAATATGAAAACCTGTACACATCTGATAACGTTTTGTCTGATATCAGAGACTGGATTGGAGGCTTTCAAAGCTAAAAGACTTAGTTGGACTACAGATATTCACCTCTAAGTCATTATCAAATTCACACCACGTTCAGACTGGGCTTAAAGGAGGATCTCTCAGACATACATGCATGACGATGTTTTCCTTGTTCCAATAATCTTTCTATTTACATTTGCTTCTACATCCCTGCGTGCTTCCGGACTCTACTCATGGCTACCATCTCCCTTCCCTTCATCTGTCAGACTCAATAAACGGACATCCAAAAGCACGGTGTCTTGTGACCCATTGGTTAACAGTTCTTTGTAGTTTTATACATATGCTTTGTGTCCCTTTTCCACAACAGCTCAGGTATGGAAATAGAAGAAAAAAAAAGCAATCCCAAAACATACAAACAAAGACTCACAACTGAAACCTGAAAAGTTGTCCTGGTTTTAGTTGCAACACAATTTTTCTTTTTAGCAGCTAGAAGAACTCTGCTTCAGTTTTAGTTTGGGATTCGCTATGAGAATAATGTTGCAATACCCTTATTCTGAAAAAGATAATAATCCTTTGACAGTTGTTATGCTCATTACAGCTATTAACAGATAAATTGTAGAGATGAATAATTGCCAGAACAGTGTCACTCAACAGAAAAACAGAAGACCAGCACTCCTAACTTCAGCATCAGTCATTCAGATATAGTTCATTACTGCATATTTAATTAAACTATATTAGCCTGATAATCAGTTTTTCTGCAACAAACACATCACAGTAGTTCATGCTTCTATATTGCTTTTCATAAAAATGAAGTCAGCTCTCCTAATTCACAGAATCATAGAACAGTTTAGGTTGGAAAGGAACTTTAAAGGTCACCTTGTCCAGCCCTCCTGCCACGAGCAGGGACATCTTCAACTAGGTCAGGTTGCTCAGAGCCCCATCCAACCTGACCTTGAACATTTCGAGGGATGGGGTATTGTCCTGGTTTTAGCTGGGACAGAGTTAGCTCTTCTTTTTAGCAGCTAGAATTGCTCCGTGTTTTAGTTTTACTCAGAGGCTCGCTCTGAGAAGAATGTTGACAGCAAGCTGATGTTTATAGTTGGCACTGAGGTCTCAAGGACTTTTTCAGCTTGCCGGCTTTTTGCCAGCGTGCAGGAGCACAACAGGATAAGGAGGAAGCATAACCAGGACAAGGGGTCCACGACTCTCCTTACGATTTGTACCTGAACTTAAGATTGAGGGCCAAACTGGCCAATTAGTATTCCATATCATGCAGCGTCATGCCCAGTATAAAAGTGAGGGTCAGCCAGAAAGAAGGGCTTTTTGCCCTTCCGGGACTCTCACTTTCGGGCTCTCAGAGTGCTTTCTCTGTCTTGGGACCTCCCGTTCGTCCGGGATCACAGTATCGAGTTTCATCTGTTTCAGGATTGCAGCTTCGTAACAAGACAGGCCTCGCTCAAGGGGTGGTGAGCAATTACACTGTACATCACTCGTTTGTATATGTTTATCCTTGTACATATCTCTCTCTATATATATTGGTAGCGGTAGTAGTAAATTGTTTTTATCTCAACCCTCGGGTCTCTTTTCTTTTTGCTCTTTGATTCTCTCCCTCATCCCTGGGGTGGGGGAGGGTGAGGGGGGACTGTGTAGGGTATAGTTGACGGAGCAGCCTAACCCACCACAGGCATCTACCACCTCTCTGGGTTCCAGTGTTTTATCACCCTGATCATAAAGAATTTCTTTCTTATACCTAGTCTACATCTACCATCTTTTAGTTTAAAACCATTACAACTTGTCCTGTAGCAACAAGTCCTACTAAAAAGTTTGTCCCCATCTTTCTTACAAGCCCCCTTTAATTGCTAGCACAAATCATCTTTCCTAGCATGGATCCTGAAAATCCTTTGAGTGGAGCTGCCACACTAGTACAATTGGACTGCATTTCTTAAACATAAGATATATCAGCTTCTGTAGGTTAGTGAAACAATTGTCTCAATTTTCTAATCAGCAGTTTTGCTGAGTTGTAGAAAAGTGATTTAACATCAATATCTTAATCATATTGTAGGCACTACATATTTAAAAATACTGTCAATGCCTCATTTACTCCAAAAATTATGAGGAAAGGAATAAGGATCCATTCTATGGAGTGAATCCACATTTGGACTTCTCTCTTACTAACACTTAGGTCATTAAACTAAGGCCTGTCATAGTAATAAGGCATATACCACTGCTGCACAAATGGACTCTTTCAGTGGCTACCAGATTGTATTACCGGTATAGAAAAGGTATCCATAATCTGTACTGCCAGTACACAAAAAAACACAGGCAACTTATACCTAAGTACAGCTCAACTTAGAGCACATATGGCACAGATGTATTTTATTCTCCCTTCTATTGACAAAGACATTTAACAATCTAACAGAATTTGTAGTTAAAAAGTATCTCTAGACCATGACTCCATACACAACACTGAAAAAGACTGAAATCGCCATTAAAGATTAAAAATTTCACAGTACATAAGACTAAAAAGCAAATTTCATATATTGACTAGAGACATATATAATACTTTCCACACAAGTCTATGATCTTCATTGCTTATTCTCAAAAGAAACAAAACTCCAATAGTGTTAATAAACTCCTACTAACAGTATCAGTAATAACACCAAAGCTGAGGTGTTTCTGAAGCTTTAGAGGGACTTAAGTCAGAAAAGAGAACAGATGCGACTACATTTTGATAAATAGTAGCAAAAAAATGCAAAATGCGAATCCAAAATATTAGTTTTCTTATACACAAAGGTTTATTGATAAAGTTCAAAACTCAAAGTAGTACGTTCCACAGAGAATTACAGGCCATGTTAAACTCTTTTAAAAGGGCTTTCTCCTATAAAGAGTTAAACTTTCTACCTTACACAGATTAATTGAAAACCCCTTCTCAGGTCATAATAGGACTAATTCTTCCTCTTTGGTACTGATGTTTATCACAAAACTCATGTTTACCTCACTCTATCCTAATTAAGCAATTTGTGCTCAAGAAAGGGTTGAGATGTGGGCAGCAGAGACCATGCCAATCAGCAAGGAGAAAGGCTTAGGC